GGGGGGGGTGTCAACGCAGCATGAGGCAAACCTGAAGAAAATGAGGGGGGACATTACAACGACTCAAGAGTTCCTCTAAAATGCCAATATTTGAAGACTAGCCCTATTACCTTGCTAAAGCGTCTTGGTATATTTTTGCCAACACGATTCTCCTCTGCCAGTCTTTCTCTTTCTAACCACCAACTATTATATTGGGGGGGGTGTTGGGGAGGTGGATGGCAAAAGGGCATGAGATTAGCATGGTGGAGGGCAATGTTACAAATCTTTAGCATTATCCTCTTACTCTGAGAACATTACGGGGCTACATCCAGAAAAACCATAGTTTACACGCTCACCTGTTTTAATACAGTAAGGAGAACTTCATGACTTTCCTAACAACAAGCAACAATAAAACAACAAGCAACACAGAGGGACAATCAACGTGTTTCACGCAAAAACAGCTACAGGAGGAAAATGAGTTAATACTTTACTTCTCTTCATAATGAGAGAGCTTGCTGTAAGCCTGTTTAAAGAAAAAAAAAATTACGCTAAATGCATGCCTTAGGTTTTGAAGGTTAGAAACGAGACGTCATGGCATATACCATAGTGTTAGTGTTTTGCTTTTGTAACGCGCAGATCGAAATACTCCACAACTAATAGTTTTCCCTTTCCCACACCGACAGATACATCTGGGAACTTCAGTAAGAGATCCTTTAAGAACGCAGGGCAGACAGTTTTCTTTCCTTTGTGTCGGTATAATAAGGAAACATTCAGACAGTTTCGACGTAGAGAGGCACATCGCTGCAGATAAGCTTTTGAATGTAACCAGAAGCCCAAGCCCAAAGTCTGACTGGCATGCTGAACATTGATAGAGCAAAACAGAGCTTTAAAACGCTTAAAATAAAGCATCAGTGACTTAACACTAGTTAAACAAAAGGACAGGTCTTCTTCAGGACTGGAAGCGTAATTAAGATTGGTTAAAACTAGAATAATCATAATTCATGTGAGTCTGTTTCTACTGGCTTAATAAAAGCCAAGAAAATAACTTTCAGGAAATAACTTTCTGAAGAACTAGAGATGACGACTATACTTTTTACGAAGAGGGCTGTACGCCCTCTGCTGGAACCAACGACATAGTGCCTAGCCGTTATTTTCATTAGCACGTTTCTTTTAAGGACAAAAATTTACTCCTACCACTAGAAAAAATACAGAAGTGTTTTCAGATACTAACAAATTTGTTTAAAATCTATTCCTTATAGTTTTTAACACTATGAATATTTAACTGTTTCTGTGGCCAAATAATCTTCTAACATCTCAGTAAATTAACTCTTTTCCTCATCTCCCACTGAGTAGCTCGTAAGAGTAGGCTCAGCCTCGACAGACCGACCTACAAGTGACATTTACGCAAAGAGAAACAGAACGTCTTGACAGCAGCTCCCTGTAAGAGCGACAAAATAACCTTCTGTCTCGCTTCTCATTTAAAAATCCTGCTTCAGTCCCTTCTGTACCAGGTAAAAAGAGCTAGAACGACTATTATAAACATCTCCTGAAGGGAAAAAGTCTGCGGAAGAGTATATTAAAACTGGTTTCTGAGGATCTTGTTGCAAGCAATGGCACAGGACATTGGAAGGAGCATGCTGAGAACAGACCCTGCTCATAAACTAGCCCCTCCATTGCCTAAAAGCGTGTCTAGCATTTTACATTGTCTTGAGGCCCTGTGATAGAAGGAAAAACCTCTGTAACATGAGGTGAGAGTAACCAATATCTACCTGAACTCATCAGGAACGTGAACAAGAGATCAACTGAGGCAGCTGCTCTAGGAGCACTAACTCCATAGCAGCACAGTTGCTAAAGGTACACATGAGATCATTTGGACATAACAGGTTGTCACTTTAGCAAAACCAAAATTGAAATATATTGGTCAAACATGCAGCATTGCACAAGACTTTATACCAATTGAGCACGTGAACATTTTGAATATGACCAGCTTGACTCATCTCTTAATCCTACAATGTGGACGGGCAGAAACTCATCATTAAGATTATTCCTTAGAAATGTACAGAACCCAAGGAAGAAACATCAAATCTCTGTGATACAGTTGTGACAATAAGTCACAAATAAAAGGAATCAAAGGAAGGTTTCATGTCATTCAGATACTCGATGTTCACATGCATTTTTAAACTTTTGCATACAGGGGCTTGTTCTCTCAATCTCTTGCTTATAATCAAAAATTGAATAGACTTTGAAAACCAACATCAGGTTACATAGTCAGACAGCAAAAGCAGAAAGTGCCATTTAGCAGCAGCATCCTTTTAGTTAAACTGTTTCCTTTTGCAATTCACCAATTCCTTTTTAATTTATTCTTAATGTGAAGCTAAAATGAAAATATTAAACAGTTGAATTTCAGAATGAGATGCTTGTGAAAGGCACAACCAGAAGTTATTTAAAAATTTATAACCTGAAGAGTAATGAGAAAGTTAGGACAAAGGAGAAAAACATACTACCTAGTCTAAGGTAGGATGTTAGGCTACAAGGTAATTTTACCCAATAATTTGTTGCAAAGCTTTGCTTCCTTTCTACTTCAGATCTTCAAACATGACAATATAGACATTTTCCTCAGCACACAGCATACAGACACATCCATTAGTAATAAACAGAATATATTTTTTTCAAGCAGAGCTTATACCTGGTCTTCGCTTGTTAAGCCAAGGTGCATCACAAAATAAAAATGAACTAGGAAATCCGAATTTGGCAGAACATCTTGACGCCTAGTCATCATAGCACAGATCAGCCTGTAGGCCTGAAGTTTGCCTTCCTTATATTCATTTGGCAGAGTGGTTGCCTGAAAAGAACCAAGACCTTGTATTAATGCATCTTTTCTAGCAGCCAGCTCACAGAAAGCTGCATCTTCAGCAAGATTTTCTATAAAGCAAATCTAGTGCATGTACTTATTAAAATACACTGAGTACAAATAATAAACAGAAAAAAAAAGCTGCTTTGGTAACCTAGATCAGTGATTTTCAATGTATGTCTGCAGATCTTGGAGGGTATCCATTATCTTAGCCAGCAGTGATTGTGAAAATTAAGAATAATGTACCTAAAAATACACAAATTCAGTATTAATATAGAAGAAAATATTAAATTGAAAAGTTTAGAAGCAACTTACCTTGAATAACCATGACGCAAATATTCTGAGAGGAGGAATTAAAACAGGAGGAGAGGGAGTAGACTGATTGTCCAAACTTATAGCAAGGTTGTCCCTTATCTGATGTTTTAAAAGAGGAAGGTTAATGAAAATAATAGCTTAGCTAAAAACAGTTCTTTACTTCTTATTATTACTTTTCCATTTTCTTTTATTTATTTTACCAAAGGCATTACACCCTGTGGTATGAATAGGATTCTTATAGAAACCAAAACTACTAGGAAATATTGTTTTATCATGTTTCCCCACATGCTTAAGTAAATATTACTATTTTAGGCATACCATGGGCTTTTACATTGAATGCCAACATCTGTGGTATTCTAGTCTATTCCTCTGTTTTCTTTGCTGTTGTTTCACCACTCTGTTTAAATTAACTAATTTAAATTCTCTTGTCATTGAAGAGGAACATTCTTTGGGGGATACCTACTGGAATGCCAACAAAAATTATCTTTATCTATGATAGAATCCCCCAAATATCACACTCATGTTCCAGATGCTATTCCTAAATCAAAATTAATCGTTTTTATAATAAATGAAAACTCATTATCATTAAAGTAAGCATTATATACAATACCTTAGCAAGTTTATACCACAGCTCATAGAGATATCCAAAAACTTTTGCATGGATTCTAGGTGACTGTATATTGTTCACGTCGCCAAGAATTCCCAAAATCCTTCTCCATAGTACAGCAGCAGAATCAGGGTGCCATCCTATAAGGCTTCCACCAGCAATTATACTACAGTCGTCAGCAAGGAATTCACTGCTATCTGTAAATTTAAAAAAGTTCAATTTCTATGAATCAGAAATGCAATATGTAATGTAAACTTGGTCAGCAACACATGAACGTATCTACACAACAGGAATAAATATTCTAAACAGTTTTGAAGGGATCTCCTTAAATATAAGCATTTATCTAACACAACGGCTTGGAGTTTCATTTATCACTACCCAAAATCAAAATACTCTTTTAGGTAATGGAGAAAACCGGCTACATCAAGACAAAATATCATAAAGATGTTTTGCAATATGCACTTCTTCAGGTTCAGTGTGCCATACAGTCAACATAATTAGACAACGCTTTTGGTACAGATAGATGACTTGCTCTGGGTTCAAAGTTTATATATTTGATTATGATGATTTAATTCAAAGTAATGACAAAACTTTCAAAATTTTAAAGATTCAAAATTCCTCCTTTTCCTCATTGAACTGCTTAAGCATCATTCCTGTTTGAATTAACTATAACTGCCTTCCAAAATAAAAAGCAAAACCATAAAGATATCAAGTATTAGGCTGGATAATATGTTAAAAAGTATTAGCCACTTCTGCAAGAGCATCACAGTATTTCTACAACTTACATAAAACTACTTCACATAAATCACCACAAAAAAATTGCTTTTTAAAATAAATCAAATCATTCCCATCTAGAAGCTATGTCTACAAAAAGCTGTAATTCCTCAGTGTTTATATCTTGGGCATTTAAATAGGTAACAACAATTTTGGTGTTCGAGTGTTAATGTGAATATCATATAAAACAGTGGAGTGAAGCACATCCAATTATAGAATATATATATATATTCTATATCAATTATAGAATATGTATGGAAAACTAACAAGTGGGATTCATTTTTCTTATTTGTTGAATTGCTGTTGTGAAAATAATGCCTATTTCACTATGAAATAATCTCTCAGTAAAGCTCCTTTTATGAGCTAGGGATTTATATTCAACACAACAGAAAAGATGCATAAACTTTTACTCAGAAAAGATGAAAAGCACAGATTTATGTTTAAATACCAATGGTAACATTAGAGTAGAGAGATCTGAAACTTACGATCTCAAGAAATAGAACATTCTGTCATATATGACTAATTCCCAGCATCTTATTTCTCAAGAGCCTGCACATAAATGTTTAAGACAAGTTCCAAAAGCTCAACATCGTCACTGTGAATTTTGGAAAATTCATTCTTAGGTGAAAGAGACCAGAGCTTTGTATTTATTTTTAAAAGGATACTTCTTTGGTCTTCCTGCCCAAATGCACCCACAAATTAGAGAAAACCACAGAAAAAATAGCGAACGCACAATCCCAGCCCTCTCGAGTAGTCTTTCTTGATGGTGTATGTGTGCGAGATGCTGTCTCTGAGTATCAAAACAGAGACACACGACAGCCATCAGCCTGCCTTCTGTATGTATTACAGAAAAATACGATGACCTTCCCAGACGAAACCCAGAAAGCTGTTAAGACCGACTTCTACTTCTAGAAGTTTGCCATCTCAAAAGTATTCTCTCTCACCAAGTCATCTCTTGCTTTTGTGTTACACAAACTGTTATGTGACTCAAATAAAAAACAGGCAAGAAAATACAGGCTGAAAGGCTTTCCATATAGATGGCCCTTAACTAGAGACCAGTTTTTAACTGGACAGACTGCCTTCTCTCAAGCTTTTATAGTATGGAGACAAATGCACTTAAATGGCACATTCATGTGTGCTCTGAAAGATTTACTCCACTTTTCTTAGTCTACGTAGAATATTATGGGTACCCTAGCATTAACCATAAATACCTCCTAATCTGAAAGTTCACAAGAGGTGTCCAAATAGAGCTAACAGAAAAAAGCTCCTAACTCTCATTGCTCATCAGCTGGAGTTACGTATCTGTTTTCCTCAGGCACTTTTGAAGAACAGCCAGTCAGTAACTGGCTTCTATAGGTAGTATTTCCATTACTAAGCATCTCCTCTTTTTTTTAAGATCACACAGCATAAAATGACCTGGAAATGCAATGGAAAAAAGGAACTAAAAATATACCGTAACAGTGAAGAATATGCTCAAGTATTAACAGTTTACACAGAAACAGTAAACTGAGATAGCAAAACGCAACCTGAGAAGGAATGTAGGGATTTGCAAAATCTGTCAAGATAATGGAATTAACATTTAAAAAGAGCAAACCAAAAAATGTCCTATTTAAGTGCAAATATTAATGACCAAATATTACATTATCTTCTATTAGACCCAAACAAGCTGAGCTGCAGCCTGCCTGTACACAGAATACTGTATCAGACCTACGGGTCAGCAGGTCTGTCATTTCACCCCCCTGCAGTGGACAGTCTCCGATGTTTCGGACAAAGTTGCAAGAAACCTGTACGTTGGAAGACAGAGGTAACTTGCTGCCTAATAAAGTTATAGCCAAATCCTAAAAGAAATTAGTTTGAAACCTAAAGCACAAGATTCTTTCTCTTCCTGCAGCCTGCTTGGTCCATGTGTTCTTTGAAGTATAAATAAGGAGCGTAAGAAGATTAAAACAAGGGAAATTATTGTGAATTAACCAGCTATTGCCTATCAGTTGAAATACATAGTAAGGAACTTCCTGCACGTTCTTAGACCATCCTGCTATGAAATAAAGTCTGTTAAGTTAAAACGTGTATTAAATTAATTCATTTTACTTCAACACCAGGGCAGGCTACCACATCTCAGCTGATGAGTGGTAATTTGATATGATAATGCAATCACTTTCAACTGTGTGCACAGTTTCTGGAAAACAATTTATGGGAACCTACATCAGCTTCAATCTGATCTTCCCAATTCCTTAAATTCTGGGCATCTTTAACAAAACATTAAGAACAAAGACTTGGTGATAAAGTCTCAAATCAGTAACAATGTGAAATAATCTGAAGATTACCCTTAAGAATATACACAAAGAAATAAGCAAATAAAGAACAGAATCTTTCTAATCTGTAATTATTTGAAGGAGATAAAGTAGATAGAAAATAAAGATGAACAAATGCTCAAGAATACAGTCTCTGGTCCTCCCCTTCTACAAAATAACCCCTGCTATGTCTAATGAAACACAAACCATCATTTCAGGCTTATGAGAAAGAGTTAGCTACACTAACTTCTGCGAACATTTTGGTAATCTTTCTAGTTACACACAAAATTACACAAAATGCCAGTCTTTATTTAGAGATGAGTATAAGGCAGTGTTTATGTCTTTGTAAAACCAAAGTCCAAGCCAGAATTTCCTCAGTGGTGCCCAGTGACAGGACAAGAGGCAGCGAGCACAGACAGGCAAGTAGGAAATTCTGTTTGAACCTCAGAAAACAGCTTTTTACTGCGGGGGTGGCAGAACACTGGAACAGGTCTCCAAGAGAAGTTGTGGAGCTTCCATCAGAAATGCTCAACACCTCACTGGACCTCGTCCTGGACAACCTGCTCCAGCTGACCCTGCTTGACCAGGGGTGTTGAACTAAATGATCTTAAAAGATCCCTTCCAACTGTAACTATTCCGTGACTCTGTGATTAATTTGCTCAGTAGTCATTTTTGCAGTATTCAGCCTTATAAACAAGTCATAAGGGACAGGGGCTGAGTAATAAATAGACATGTATTAACTACCACCTCTTTTCAGCCCACAATGGCTAGATGGTAATCTACCTTCAGCCCACAGGAAAATGAATATTAACTTAAATTACTATGCATCTCCTGCAGCCTGATATGCACAGTATGGGAGTTTTTACATAGCTGATGCACTGTAACTTGTTCATGTTAACTTTTTCTGTATTTATGTTCACAACCTCCAGTGAGCAGTGATGGAGTTGTAAGACTGATCTCTTGAAAGGTATACAATCAATATACATTTTAGAGCAACGACAGAAAAACAAATATTTTAAAATTATATGTAAATGAGAAAATAATTACAAAAGATTACTTAAATATGAATACTTTGAAATAAATGTTTCACCTGTTCTACATACCTTTCCTGTTTAAACTGTGCATTCAAATAAGACTAGAACTAAATGAAATACACATTATAGACCATCTTTCTCCTATATTTCTGAAAGTAAAAATTGGTTTCTCATTGGCAATATTGTTGAACTTTCAAGAACTAGTGGCTGAAGAGATTTTAACTGAGAAGGAGATTTTTCAAGAGAAATTAATGCATACAAGAAAGTTTAATTAAACCAAAGCTATCTATTCAAATCACCTTCGCCAGGCCCCTGGCTCTGAATTATCCCTTGCAGAAGCTTCTCTTACCATTGAATACAGAAGCAGCCTCGGCAGGCTGCACATTTCTTAACCGGGTTAAGTTTCTGAAGTAGGCTTTGACTGAATCCATCCCAGTGTGTCCTCAGTGGAACGTGCTGTGGTTTAACCAGCCAACTTAAAATTCCCCTATATGTAAGTTCAGAACAAAACTTCTGCTGACAGTCAGCGCTCGCATTTTTGAAACTTCATTCACAAATAATATTATCACTAATAATAATGAACGTACAGAAGCCAGCCCTACAATTCTGTGGATGAATATTTGACAGATTACAAAATGATTATTTACTATTTAGTGGAAGTTTTCAAAAGCTACTACAACTTGTACTTTTAGCCTCAGAGAGATATTAACTAGAGTTCACTTTGCATGCACAAAATTCTTCCCTAAACAATATCCAACATAATCCAAAAGATTTCAATGACCTTCACATCTAACAGAAAAGCAGACTCCTCCCCTTTGAAATACATAATAACCAACATGATTCACATTGGAACACTACAGATTTACCACAACACCATGTATCCCCATGAAAGCCTTTATTAGAATATTTTTCAGTTCACAGACGGAAACTTGTTTCCATTTTTGCACCACAGAACATGTAGCTCCCTACATTATTACAACAGCTCAAGCTGAAAGACTACTGGCAAACAAAAAAATCTATGTGCTCGATATCCTTTCTACTGCCTTGCTCAGAATCACATTTCATACACTACAACATACATTTCATAAAAGTGTTTCACTACCTTTTTTCCCCTCACTCTTCTTAACAACAGTTATGACTGGCCTGTAAAGTTAAGTGCATTGCTGCAAGAAGTATAGTTGGACACAGATTTACTTGGAGAAACACTCTCAGGGAACTCCTAGGTGCTACAGCACCCTTCTTTCACCTTGCAACAGTGCTAGCCAAAGTGGTAACCATTCAAGCTGCTGCCATCTTGCTTTAGATCAGATATGAATGTAACCCTTACTGTGAAAATACAATACTGCAATTGAATAAAAGTTAACATTCATTCTTTGAGTAAGGATTAACTGTGCAGCAGCTGGAAGTGAACACAGAAGCTACTAGTATACTCCAAAATTAAGAAAATGACAGGTAGCATCAGATTACAGTATTTTAATTTATAAAAAACTGACTGTGCAATTAGGATGAGTAAAAACAGTAGGTAGTTCTTACTTAGCTAAAGAAACATACTTTTTATAATCAAATTGAACTGTATAAACTCCTTTGGGGATAAAAGTATAAAACATTAAACACATTTTCTTTAGTGTAAGTACCTGTTAGATTTGTAGTATCTGAAGGACTAAGCTGAAGCCAGCGAGGTGCTTCAGGATCAACACAAACATCTGCCGATGCATTAACTTCACGGTCTTCTTCAGAAGTTTGCCAGGGGATAAACGTGATCTCTACTTCATTGTTATAGCCAATGGATGTGTCACTACTAATGCTTTCACCTAAAGCAAGGAGAGGATTAATAAAGATCAGGAACCCTGCTTTTAAAGATCAAATAAGCAAAATACGATGAACAACGTCTCATATCTGTATCAAGACAAAATTAACACACTGATATCGGTTGCTGCACTTAAACATACTGTGTTTCTTAGAACTCACTCTTTTCTCTCTCCTGGCGATTTCCATGTGACTGCTGCAAGTCTGCTTTCAAATCTAATTCAGCTGGACTGCTGCTCCTTCGTACTAGGACCTTCAGAGAAAAAAAATTGTATTAATAGCAGCTTACCACAGCTTTGAAAACTGTATTATATTCTATCAAAATCAAAACACACACACACGTGTGTTTGTATGTCTTGAGATTTTATATATATATATATATGTGTGTGTGTGTGTGTGTGTGTGTATATATATATAAAGTAACCAGAAATTAAATTAAACTCAGTCAAGATATTTTCATGTACCTTTTAGTCTACCTAAATTTCTTTAAATGTCTTAAGGACACCGTCATACTTTTGACTTTCTTTTTATCCTGCCTTTCTTTTAAGCTCAGTCTACAGTAACAACAAGAAATAGACAGGACTTGTGTTTCTCAAAAAATCTTAAACTATTCGATACTTTTTGAATCACTGTGTCCTTCATATATTTTTTTTCTAAAATTCCTAAACAGATCCCTAAGAAAAACTGTTTCTCTTGTATTTCCGTGCTATGGCAACAAAGTCAACCCACTGGAATGAACTGTGGATAAATCTCCAAAATCCCATACACGTCCTTAGAAACCAACAAAACCTTTAAGGAAGAAATTAACAGACATCTCTTACATCAGATGCATTATTTGGTTGCAAAACAACCTATGTGAAGACTCCAAATCTTTTCTTTACTTTATTCTCCTTTTTTTTTTTGTAAATGAATTTATAGCCTGTTTGCTGAAAACCCCTCAGAAATTTTCTGCTTCAGGATGATATTCCTCTGTGCCTAGACAGCATCGTTTTTCTTTACATCTGGCAGACTACCCTTAAATTCACATTTCTTGCATCTCCAGATAATCTGTAACAGTAAAAATCAGTTTATGCTAAAAAAAAAAGTGTATCAGGTTAGCACTATACAACTGTGCAAAAAAATCCCCCTATGTTCTACACCTTACCGCTTTGAGCGTTATTACATTTAACTGCTCAAGAAATCTCAATTCAGTTAACATTTTTGAAAATTCATTTTGGTAGAAAATATTTTCGTTTTTTAATTTGTTATCACTCTTTTTACATAAATTACTTATGGAAGTAATCTTTGATTCACTGGCCAGAAATTAAACCATTCTCTTTCTGCACATATTTGAGAAAGCACATTATTGCCACCAAAGAGACAAAGAACTGATTCGTGGAGTTATTATTTTAAAAACGTGGATTTCTTTTTTTAAGCTGGAGAGAATTGACAACCATTCCCAAGAAATATGCATTTTCTTGTGCTGTCTGATAGACTGTAGAGTGGTTTATTTTCCCTGGATAACCTGGATTTTGGTGATCAGTGTTGAAAAAAATCTCATTGGGTTGCGATTTGAAGTCAGAACTGGTTCAGTATTTTAGCAAGTCATGCAACAGATACATGGTCAAAATCCCAGCTCCACTTCCAAAGGAGGGTGAAACTACAGTTCCAGTAACAGCCCCAGCAGCAGGTGGTTGTAAATATTTTATACTACATGCTACTAAAATAGAATGGGGAGGCAGGTTAATTTTTAATTCCCCACAATTACTGAGCTTGCCTCTCTCCCTCTTCTTTCCCTTCCACCACATAAAGTGGACTACATTTTCCTTTCTTTCTGAGACATTGTTATTCCTGAAGAAATTAACGAAAGCATTGCCCCGGAAAAGTCTCATCCCTCTTTCCCAGAGCCAAGGGTTAATGGTACTTAAAGTCCACGTGTATGGAGGAGCCAAGGACCAAAGATGAGATCCAGCTTGAAGTCCTACATGCTGTATTGCATTATACTGCCACCAGAATGATCAGCCTTAGTCATTTATTATTTCTACTGTTTATTCAAAAGTTGCATTAAAAATTTATGAAACATGCCTATCCTAATGTTAACTTATGCAAACATCTGCAATAAACAGCTGGTGGTACAAATTGTGCTGAAGGAAAGCATTTCCCCCAGTACTTCAAACCATCAAACATTTATTCCAGGGCAGTGCAACTCTAACAACCATGAATCATTTATAAAAAATAGGTATGAACTTCCTGTTCATATTTAATATAGAAAAGCACAGAAATCTATTTTATGGAGATAGAGTATAGCCAAGTACGTAGAACTGCACTGGCAACTTACAATATCAGAAGACATAGAATGATCAGACCAAATAGTAAACAGTTACAGCTTAATCACAGCTACCATACCAGAGATGCGATTAATAAATTTTTATGCTTTCAGTTGTTATCATTTCCAAATACTAAAAGGCTTCTGATTAGAAATAAAACCTGTTTAGGATTTTATCAATAATCACTTTGGTTTTTGCCTTACATGCTCAGCTTCATATTCCTTCTTTGTGCATCCCTTATTTTCCTGTATTGATTTGAAGTCTGAAGAAGTTAAATTCTGAGAACTCTCAGCCTTTTTACCTACAAATTTCAGAAAGTAAACAAGTGACACAAGAAATATAGATAAAAGTACATGGTAAATTATAAGAAAATTTCAGCTACCTTTACATATATGTTTCCCATTATTTATAGAAAAGTAATGTAATGTCATAAATTTTGTAAAGTTGTCATGGCTTAATCGATATGAAGAAATACACGATGTTTTGAAAAATTCTTCATAAGCATAACTTATACCACAGATATAGAAAACAAGTAAAACTGCTGAGTACTCCAAATTTAAATACAATGCCAGATTTAAAAAATTACATGAAAACTGCATATATTCAAAAGTTTCATTTTTCACAGTCATGATATACTTACTAGACGTTACGCCCTGCGCTTGTGATTTACACCTTTTTAAAAGTAATTAGTTCAAAAAGGTAGCAATGATACATTTACAAAGAAAAATGAGATACAAAACATTTTCAAACAACAGAGTTGGAGACCGCAGCAGATAACAGCAGCATCTATAAGGCTGGATGTTCTCAACACTGTTTCTCCACAAGTGAAGCATTATTCTATTTCATGAAAATTACCTTGAAAACAATCGGATGTAAACTGATCTGTAATATCTGAAGTGCTACTACTTCGAGTTAGTTGTTGCTCTTGGTCTGCAAATAGGCCAGCAGCTTCTGCTCCTGTTGACGTTTCTGACTGCTGAGATTCTTCAACTTCTGTTGATGTAAATAAAAAACAAAATATTCTAAGGACTTCAGAATTATTTACACGTGATAAATCCTAGTCTAAGAAAGCTATGTGAAAAAGTGACGAATTCAAACATTTAAAACTCCAAATTACAAAAGTTAAAATGATAGTGTAATTTGAGTTTTATAAAACCATTTTAGAAAAAGAATAAAGTTTAGAGGTATAAGCAGTATAAATGGGAAAAAGTCTAGAAAAAGTAAAACAAAACAAAACAAAACACTTCAGGGGTTCTGAATGCATAACGAAGACTGGAGGAGGTCACATGAACCGACGACCCTAGAGACCCAAACTAGACTTGGTTTGTTCTGGAAAGAAATAGACTAGAGGAGATATAGCAAAACTACTATGAATTTATAGTACTGAAATGATTAGTGTCCTTATTGTTTTTTCCTCCATAAAGAGGGGAATGCGAGAACAAAGAAAGTAACAGTTCAAACTGAGTAAAAAAAAAAAAAAAATCCTAAAATATCCCCATTCTCCCTCTCCTCATCGCCCTCTAACATCCAGTCCTTGCCATTCTTTGGCAAAGAATGCGGGCCAAACTAAATACGCTGCACTACAACACAGATATGCCACCTCAGACATTCAGAAAGTTAATTTTCTGCATTTTAGAAGATGTACAGAAAGATTGTTTTCTAGGAGACTTCAGATTTAGAGGTTTTCTTGCTGGGAAGATCTGAGGAGAGGAATTCAATCATAAGAAAAAAGATATTTGAAAAGAGGATACTATGACATTTCCCTCTTCTCCTTTTAGCTCTCCTCATGCCCTCAGGAACTGCACTGGTTCAGGAGTCTACTGGGTAATAAATAAATAAAACCACAAATTTTGGACAATCTCTTTTTTTCAGTGCAATAGTAAATCTTTGCTGAATACACAGAGCCCTTAAGGTTCTTTTGCAGGTGAAAATAAAAATGTGAAGTCTTTTCTTTGATTTGAATGTGAAAACCACCTGAAATCTTATGAATCCCAGAGGGTGGCCGAAGAGCACTCCATGTTTCCAGAAAGCATACCCATCCTGGGCAAGAACTGCATTGTTCATCTGGAAGATTTAAACAGTCTTGGAAGTTTGGGCAGTTGTGTACAAACTCTTCCAGTAGCTCAGAGCTAACAAGATGTACCAAATCTGATAAGACTTCCAGTACCCAAGAAAGGCTTACGGGATCACATTTAGCCTAATAAGGTTGTGAAGAATGGAAATCCTCTGGGAAGTTGGGCTAAACAAATAACGGCACCTTCAAAGGACTGTCCCAAGGTTACAAAAGGTTAAAATGGCAGTATCACTGTACCAATGAACACTTTACATTGGAGATGCTTTGATGTGACTGTTACAGCTTTTAACAGCAATTTGGATTCAAGTTTGCGACAGCAAAAGCTTTGCTTTGATTGCTGTGCATTACTAATTGATGAAAACCTACTTACTAGAAAGAGAATATATATTAAGTCAAAAATAAACCCTAAACCCTACAGTTTATTAAAAAAACAAAAATTCCGGTTTTATGCATATTCTCATCTGAAGCCTACGAAAAAACTCAGCTGACAGATCTCCTAGATCAAACACCCTTGATGGGAAAAAAAGAGAACCACTTTTAAGCATTAGTGCTTAAGCTGCTTAGGAAGAAAGGAATAGTTTATTAAAGGAAATTTAACTTTGTTCTCAGTCATTACCTGTAAGTCATTTCTGGGAGAAGGCAGGCACGTGAAGGGGAAGAGAAATTCGAGGGAGAGATCTCAGGAACAACATATGACATTATTAGCTAACCCACAAATGAACAGATCACTATTACAACTGGATTGTGAAATTGTTTTCATTTCTCCTCTTCAGTCACAGAATAAGTGCCAGGATTCAGTTTGCCCTTATAAACCAGCGCAAATCTTATTATGCAACTCAAAGAGTCAGAGGAGAGAGAGGCATTAAAATTCAAGTGAGAAAAAGTAAATTGATATACTGAGGAAGGAGCAACAGAAATTCTAGATATTAGCTAGGAACACACTTTTAGAAATGCTCCTCTCTCAGTACTAGGGCGAAAAAAACCCCCACAGGAACAATCAAGTATGTTCTCATTCAGTAGTGGTGTTTCTAAGTGCGGCCAAGATACTGGTTAGTGCCACCTACCATACTTACATACCAACTAACTGCCAGTTCTTCCCCCAGAAAGCAGTAAACATATCCCATCAAAAATCAACCACCAGAGTGTTCAAGAGGTCCAATCTACATGCCCAATGTTATTTTCCTTTTTCTAAAAAAATATATATATGAGAAATGTTGCCGTAATAGCTCTGTGACTTTACGAGCAATCTTTTTTCTTTTTTTTAAGCAATGAATGTGGGCTGATTTACTGAGTCTTCCAGCTTTCTTTCAGCATATTATTACAGAATATGCACATTAATTAAAATGACTTTTCCACACCTTTCTATTCTTCTCTTTTCTCATCTTCTTTGCTCTGCATCCTCTCTCCCTGCTGCTCTATGTTCCGTTGGCCTCGTTGTTGTGTAGGGTTTTTTTCTGCTCCATCTAAACCCCATCTAAAGGAAGCATTTTTGGAAGCCTGAAGAAGGCTTAAATGCTAGCTGGAGACTGCTAGTGGCAGGGGGGGGTTCCTCTCACTACTTCTGGTGGTGAAGTCAACTGTCAGTTTATACACATTGGCGTGCAACTGGCATACTTTATGAATTGACATAAGAGAAGTACTAACTAGATGTAAAGGAGAAACTTCTCCACCGTCAGGGCAGTGAAGCATTGGAAGAAGCTGCCCAGAGAAGCTGCACAGTCTCTGTCTTTGGAAGATTCCAAGAGCAGACTGGATGAAGCCGTAAGCCACCTGGTCTGATCTCACAGCTGACCCCGATCTGAGCACGAGAGACCTCCTGAAATCCCTTCCATCTTGAATTATTCAGTGGATCTTATGACCCTAACTTCAAAAATATCACTTTTTAATCTTGAAGGTAATATCGTTACATTTAAAATTTGAGCAAACTCCAAAAATGAATTCATAACAAATTCATTGAAATATTATTTACTGAACAGATACTGTCAGTCTAAATCATCATCAATTTCTATGAACTCACATTGAGGCTGTACTTGTAAAGAAGTTAGCAAGAATTATCAAGAAGTACTATACACAGATTGAAGCAGCAGCTTAGAGGAGGAGGAGGAGAGTTGTTTAGTTTGTTCAATCTATACCACCAAGTGAGTTAATACTTACAAGACATATTTAATATATTTGAAAAAACTGTTTCACAAATGCACTTGTACAAAAGCTAATTATTCTGGTATTTATAGACCTCTGAAAGTATTATTATTGATTTTAAATATCTTTCATAAAGCAGTAAATGTATATGAAAGTTCATCTTTCAGGTCAATGCCTATCTTCACTAACTTGAACAAGCAAGTAAGCAAAATGAAATGAAAAAAAAAACGCTAAATGCAATAGGAACGCCTAAAGAGCCAGAATGCATTAGATGCAAAACTCTTCTTTTCCTTGCTTACAGCAGCTAACAGCTCTGGTTGGGGCTTAGGAGTCAGGAATCCCTCCTAGGAACTGAAGGATGGAAGGTGATTGAAAATCCATTTTTCAAACACCTACTACTTATAAACAGAAATAAAAGAAAATCCCCTAACAGGATGGAGAAATCTCACTGCTTACACCAACAAATCTTGGTTAGGTGAGGGGACTGAAGCCCTAAAACAAAGCAGCTCTATATACTTAGACCATTACCTCTGCGTTTTTCACCTCTACGTCTGGGTATGAACATAGAGTCTGTTCAGAAGTTGTACACTTGGCGTTCGTTTTCGCTTTATCACAATAGCGAGTTCCACAGGATAAGACTATGTACCAAAAGCAAGAAAAACCACTCTGCTATACTTTTCTGAGTGAACATACATCTGCTTAGGTATAAATAAGCACTTAAAAGTCCAGATCTAGATGACTGCCCTGTTTTTAGTTTTTGCATTCCTACCTCTCAGTTTATTTGGTTTACACTATATTAAAACCTAAACAGCTACTTGGAAACTTTTAATGAATCAAATTATTGAAAAATGTAAACATGAAGAAAAATGTTATTTCTGAATAGAGAAAATTAAATTCAAGTAAGTTTAGTTGCTAGGGAATACACTGTAAATGCATCGTAATTAATCTAAATACATTGTAATTAACAGTAATCTTTAACATTAAAATGAAGAAAACCTGAATTGCTTGCAGTGCTAGAAACATTTCGAGAGAAATCAGACACTGCATAAAAACTAAGAGGCACAGACAAATCTTTTAAATTTGTTTCTGGAATCAGTAACTCCAGGAAAAATTATTTAGGAGAAAAAATCCACACTTGTAAGCATTTATTTGTAAGAACTGATTGTGACACAGACGAATAAGACTATTTTTTTAATTAAGTAGCTTCGACCAGCTGTTTTTTTGTTTTGTTTTTTTTTTTTTTTTGCTTACAATATTTTGTTTCCACTACCTCTTACGTTCAAGCATTCAACTAGTTTCCACACTAATTCCTTTTCAGGGAAAAGGAGAATGACAAGGTCATGTAACTGTCACTTATTTTGATAAAAAACAGTTTCATTGGTTGAATAAAAAAACACTAGAAGTAACCGTATCTTACCACTCTTAGGAAACTTGAAAGAGGTCAAGATATGCTTCCACATTACTAAACTTGCTCATAAAGAAGAACCATCTCTAACGGCTAAAAGTATTACTTAACAACATATTTTGTACAGATCTGAGGTAGAGAATCAATGCAAAACATCTCATTCCACGCGACTAAAGAATGCTTAACTAGACAGAAAAAGGGTAGACAGATAGCAGTTTAAAAATATAAAGAACATTTATATACAAGATGACTTTAAAGTACAGTACCTGACAGTCTGTGAGAGCAAGAAGTGTAAGAGATACCAGGTAAGAGAGAGCTCACAGTGTGAAGCAGAAGAGGTACACTTTTAGTAGCTGGCAAAGCCTCATAAAGATG